TCTCAACGGTTATATCCCGCATTGTGTTGATCCACATTGTGTTGTATTGTCAAAAGTGTTGTTCTGGGGAACGGTTGTATCCGTCAACGGATTTTTTTTGTCAAAGGGAACCCGTCAAAAGTGTTGTATCCCCTCAACTGGTTATATCCCGTCAACTGTTTGTATCCGTCAACTGGTTGATCTTCAACGGTTTTAACCTGTCAAAAGGTTGTATTCTGCAACTGTGATACCGTCCGTGTTGTTTCCGTCAACTGGTTGTTCCGTCAACTGCGTTTTTTTTGTCAAATGTGTTGTATCCCGACGTGTTTACCGGGCAACTGTGTTAACCTTCAACTGGTTGTACCTGTCAACTGGTTTCCGTCAAGTGTTGTCCCTGCCCCCGGTTGTATCCTGTCACGCGTTTTACCTGTCACTGTGTTTTTCCTTTTAACTGTGTTATATCCGCAAAATGGCGTATCCTTTTACGTGTTGACCTGCAAAGTGTTGACCTGTCAACTGTGTTTATCCTTCAATGGGATTCCTGTCCGCGTGTTGTATCTTGTCAACTGTGTTGTTCCTGTCACTGCGTTTTATAGCCAACGTGGTTCCTGTCAACTGTATTTTATCCGTCAAATGTGTTTTTCCTTTTACGGTTGTACCGTCAACTGGTTAATCCTGACCTGTGTTGAACCCGGGAACTTTGTTGACCTGTCAACTGTGTTGTATCCGTCACTGGTTGTACGCCAACTTGTTTTTCCGTCACTGTGTTTATCCCTCAAGTGTCGTATCTTGTCAAAATGTGTTAATTTCCCCCCGTCAAATGTGTTTATCCTGTCGAAAAGTTTGATCCCGTAAATGTGTTTTTGGCAACTGTTTGTACCTGTCCCCGTGTTAATTTCCCGTTTACGTGTTTACCGTCAAAATGTGTTTATCCTGTCAAAAAGGTTATTTTCCCCAACTGTCGTATCCTGTCAAAATGTGTTGACCCGAAAACGGTTGTTTTCCCGTCAATGTGTTATATCCGCAATGTGTTTTATCCTGTCAACTGTGTTAAATTTCCCGTCAAAAGTGTTTTATCCTGTCGAAAAAGTTTTTATCCCGTCATCTGTGTTTTTCCCGGTACGGTTTTATCCCTTCAAAAGGTTGTATCCTGTCAACTGTGTTGTATCCTGTCAACTGTGTTATATCCTGTCAACTGTGTTGTATCCTGTCAACTGTGTTATATCCTGTCAACTGTGTTGTATCCTGTCAACTGTTATATCCTGTCAAATGTGTTATATCCTGTCACCTGTGCTGTATCCTGTCAACTGTGTTGTATCCTGTAAACTGTGTAGTATCCTCTCAACTGTGTTGTATCCTGTCAACTGAGTTGTATCCTGTCAAATGTGTTATATCCTGTCAACTGTGTCGTATCCTGTCAACTGTGTTATATCCTGTCAAATGTGTTGTATCCTGTCGAAAGTGCTGTATCCTGTCAACTGTGTTGTATCCTGTAAACTGTGTTATATCCTGTCAACTGTGTTGTATCCTGTCAACTGTGTTGCATCCTGTCAACTGTGTTATATCCTGTCAAATGACATGATCAGTGAGGAAGCCCTAAATTTCTATTCGAAATTGGAGAGGAGTAAGATTTTATCCTAGGGAGAGGAGGATGGCTCCGAGTCCTCGGATCAGACCTGCGGTCTGCAGAAGGAACTGCAACGCTCTAATTCCTCAGGTCAAGAGCTCTTTACCAGCCTCACGTTATTCTTCCCATAATCTGGGGCCAAAGTCGTTGCCAGTCGCAGTTTACTGCGTTACCAGGCGCAGTTTCCTGCAATACCAGGTGCGTTACCAGGCGCAGTTTACTGCGTTACCAGGTGCGTTACCAGGCGCAGCTTACTGCGTTACCAGGTGCGTTACCAAGCGCAGTTTACTGCGTTACCAGAAGCAGCTTATTGCATTACCAGTTGCGTTATCAGGCGCATAAATTTGTTGCATAATTCTTTTTTACAATGCTTATTCGGCAAAAATGAGAGAGAGAGAAAGAGAATTTTTGTTGATTTCCATACTCACACCTCTGGCTCCTCCCTCGACCTAGCAGTGAGTGATCTAGCAGAAGACACAGTCACTTGTCAACCTCTCGGCTATGTTGGATCATCTGACCATAAGATTGTCTTTACCACACTGAAGATTCCAACAGTACGAGGTGAAGAATGTTGGATCATCTGACCATAAGATTGTCTTTACCACACTGAAGATTCCAACAGTACGAGGTGAAGAATGTTGGATCATCTGACCGTAAGATTGTCTTTACCACATGAGATTCACAACAGACGAGGTGAAGAATGTTGGATCCTCTGACCGTAAGATTGTCTTTACCACACTGAGATCCAACAGTACGAGGTGAAGAATGTTGATCATCTGACCTAAGATTGTCTTTACCACACGGAGATTCCACAGTACGAGGTGAGAAATGTTGGATCATCTGACATAAGATTCTTTACCACACTGAAGATCCAACAGTACGAGGTGAAGAATGTTGGATCATCTGACCATAAGATTGTCTTTACCACACTGAAGATTCCAACAGTACGAGGTGAAGAATGTTGGATCATCTGACCATAAGATTGTCTTTACCACACTGAAGATTCCAACAGTACGAGGTGAAGAATGTTGGATCATCTGACCACAATATAAATGGCCTTCTCTGTGGAAAGAAGCGAATGTAGTCACTGTTCACAAAAATGAAGAGCAGGGCGGAAATCAGCAACTACAGACCCGTGTCACTCCTGTCAATCACTAACAAGATTCTTGAGACAATAATCTCACGGCAGATGACAGAGTTTTTCAACTACCACTCACTTTTCTGTGACTGTCAATATGGCTTCAGACAAGGTCACTCTGCTGCTGATCAGCTGACAGACCTCTCCATTATGTGTCACCAGTCACTGGATGAATCCAAGATCAGCTATGCAGTAGCACTGGACAGTGCTGGTGCTTTAGACCGAGTGTGGCACCAGAGACTCTTGACAAAACAGCAAGCACTGGCAGCCTCTAGCTTTGCACTATGTCTCCTCAGTGATCACCTTCAAGGTGATCACTATTTCTCAACAGGACAGAGTCAATAAGACACACTATTGTTATTAGTGTTCCACCGGGAAGTGTGCTTTGGCCATTGTTATGGAATGTCTACTGCAATGACCTTCTGCAACTCTTCCCAGAATTCGTTGCATATACAGACGACTGTACACTGACACTTACTTATCCAAGAGAGGAAATGCTAGGAAGCTTTACAGCACTTAGACGTCTCACAACACCTCGACCGTAGAGGTTACAAGATTCTGTACGAGGCACAAGTACGCTCACAACTTGAGTATTCTCCACTTTCTTCGATTACCTCCCCCCCCCCTTTCTTCTCATCTGAGTCTTCTTGACAGAATAGACAACAAAACAAGACGACTCATCTCTCGCCTGGACCCAGCCTGGACAGATCTGTCATTCTAGTAGTCTTCAATACAGGAGGGATGTGTGTGACTTACTGTTATGTACAAGGTCAGTGTTAAGGTACCAAACTTGTCTCCACTCCGAGGACAGTGAGAAGAGAGCTTTTATACAAGATGAGCAGTGAGAAGACAGCTTCTATACCACAAGACGGGCAGTGAGAAGACAGCTCTATTACAAAATAGGCAGTGAGAAGACAGCCTTACCACAAGATGGGCAGTGAGAAGACAGCTTCTACACAACAAGACGGGCAGCAAACAGCAACTGCACTCCCCAGGACATCATTACATCCGAGATCATTTATTCCTAGAATGACTCGAGTCATTCTTCTCTCTCCCTCCCTCCTCTCTCTCTCTCTCTCTCTCTCTCTCTCTCTCTCTCTCTTCTCTCTCTCTCTCTCTCTCTCTCTCCTCTCTCTCTCTCTCTCTCTCTCTCAGAATCATTAGAACCTGTGAACCTTCTGTATTCAGTGTCACAGAAAGACCAGAAACTGTCAGTCTCCTCAGTGTATTGTTCAGTGCTATAGACATATCCGAAAAACAAATTTCTCTTGCAGATATAAATTAAATAATTAAATTTAAAGAAAATTAAAAAATGCACAGTGTTGAAACAGAAATAAAGGAATAAAAAATAGACATAGAAATGGCCAAAAAAAATTCTAGCAACTGAAAAAAAGAAGCAAAGAATTTATTTTCAAGCAATTAAGGCCAGGCTGACATTCCAGTCGAAAATTTCCAATGCAGTTTCTGGAAACTCCAGCACTTTTATTCCTCCAGTGGAAGTAATTGTGTTAGAAGCAGTATTTCTGACTACCTTTAATATACAGGAGAAGTGTAAGGTAGATATGGCAACAAGGAAATGGCGCTGGCTACACTGAGTACCTACCTCTGACAACCTTCCCCTCTCAGTCTCCTCAGTACATATATTGTTCAGAATTCTAGACAAAACTGTTTTTACCTATGGCAACCCCTTGCAACTTTGTATAGCTCCTGATCTAGCACTGATAATAATGAAAAAGTCTGTCAGCTAGTTTTTACCATTCTATTAGTTTGCTAGTATATATATATATATATATATATATTATATATATATATATATATATATATATATATAATATATTATATATATATATAGTATATTATATAATATATTATAATATTATTTATATATATATATATATTATATATTTATATATATATATATACCACCACTACTACCTGTATCCTGACCACCACCCACTACCACAACCACCACCACCAGTCACAAATTTCTAAAGCTAGAGAGCTCTATTGCTTAATAAAGCTTTATACGTAACTTGTTAATCCTGTAGAGTGTAATAAAACTTCATAATAAGTCTATAGAGAATGAAACACAACTTGACAAAGCTCTACACAGTGAAACGTAACTTGACAAAACTCTACAATGAGCGAAATGTTGTCTCTTCTTCCCTATATAAAGTTGTACTTCATTTGGATCCCCTGACCCACCTTACCCACACTCACCTAACTTCCCCACCATTGGCCACCTATACCGTCTAGGTGATCGTCACCTTCGCCTGCTGCCTGGGACCCCTGGCTTGCGGTTTCGCCCAAGCCTACAACCTCAGCAAGGATCCTGGCGAGTTCATGGCACCTCAGCTAGGTCCCTGGAGAACCTACGTTCACCTAATAGGTGAGTGCCTCTGGTATGTTTGTAATGAACGTTAGACAACAGGAGCCTACTGGCCTTCGCTAGGCAGGTTCAACTCACACCCAGCAAGGCAGTAGGCCAACTGACTTATGCTAGCAGGTTCAACTCACACCCAGCACGGCAGTAGGCCAACTGGCTCATGCTAGGCAGGTTCAACTCATACCCAGCTTTGCAGTAGGCCTACTGGCCTATGTTGAAGAATTAATCACATGTACAACACATGGGTATCTTTATCATAAAGACGTTTCGCCCACCACTGTCTATCGTTTCAATACAAAGGTTATTTGAAGGAGAAAGGTAATCAGTCCCTTGCAGAACCTAACACAACAACAGGGGAAGATAAGGAAATCAGTCCCTCACTCTTGCAGAACTAGACACAACAACGGTGGAAGTTAAGGTGATCAGTCCCCTCAGCCTAGAAGCCAGTGTTCATTATCTCCGTCTTGATGACTCTGGAGCACAGGCTGTAAGATGGACTTTTATATACTGGAATCAGACAAGGTGCAGCAGTTAAATGCACAGTCACAGATGGGCGGGGCCCACTGGTGTAAACACAGGTCATAGCCAAATGTTAGACTAGAAGTTAGCAAAAGTTGGATCAGAAGTTAAAAACTTGTGCCAAAACTTAGTTAATAGTTTGTAAGAGATATTGTGTGTAACAAGACTACCTGGTGCCTTGCTAGGCAAATTCAACTCACACCCAACACTACAGTAGGCCTCCTGGCTCGTGCTAGGCAAGTTCAACTCACACCCAACACTACAGTAGGCCTCCTGGCTCGTGCTAGGCAAGTTCAACTCACACCCAACACTACAGTAGGCCTACTGGTCTATGCTAGGCAGGTTCAACTCACACCTAACACTACAGTAGGCCTCCTGGCTCGTGCTAGGCAAGTTCAACTCACACCCAACACTTAAGTAGGCCTACTGGTCTATGCTAGGCAGGTTCAACTCACACCTAACACTACAGTAGACCTACTGGCCCATGCTAGGCAGGATAAACTCACACCCAATATCTGATGATAGTTCTAGACTGACCGAAACGTAGTCTAAAGCTATTACCGAGATGTTTCGCTCAGTGCAGTTTTGCCATAACAAAACCCTGAACTGTCTGTTTGTGATTTTTTTTTAATATAAAAAATAATTTTCCCCATAAATAATTCCCCACGAACATAATTTTTGAATGTGAATAATTCTTGTCCATAAATAATTCTTGCCCATATTTAACTCTTGCCAATATGTAATTCATGCCTATATATAATTCTTGCCTATATATAATTCATGCATATATATAATTCTTGCCCATAAATAATTCTCGCCCATATATAATTCTTGTCCATTAATAATTCTTGCCCATTAATAATTCTTGCCCATATATAATTCTTGCCCATAAATAATTCTTGCCCATTAATAATTCTTGCCCATATATAATTCTTGTCCATAAATAATTCTTGCCCATTAATAATTCTTGCCCATATATAATTCTTGCCCATAAATAATTCTTGCCCATAAATAATTCTCGCCCATATATAATTCTTGCCCATATATAATTCTTGCCCATATATAATTCTTGCCTATATATAATTCATGCCCATAAATAATTCTTGTTCATATATAATTCTTGCCCATAAATAATTCTCGCCCATCTCTGGTGAACAAAAAAATACTGATGTCAAAGATATCTGAAGGTATTTAGAGTATTTTGGTATTTCCGAATTTAAAACTGTCAGCAGGTTTTTCAAATTGGTTCTTGTTTTCGAGACGTTGCCAACGTACCCTTAATTATCAGGGAACTTAGGTATAACTCATGTATATGTGGTGACAAGTTCTACATACATATAGTTTCAATAATTAAAATTTTATTTTTAAATGATTTAATATTTAAGGAGAGGAGTTGTGTCAACAACGATCAGGTGACAATATTGTCACTTTTATTTAGTTATTTGTTTTGCAGAGGAACGTGAGTTCTTCACGAAGAGTCTGCTTGAACAATCCCAATGCTTTTTTTGCTACATTTGTGGAGAATAAATTTTGCAGAAACAAAGAAAACGTGTCACAGATTTTGTAAGACAAGTTTATCTTGTTTATTTTGGATTGGTGCTTGGCGGACAAGCTGCCTGGGTCCCCCATGTGGCTTGCAAGACCTGTGTCGCGTGCTTACGATGGTGCAGAAATAGGCTAAGGAAACGTTTATATTTGATTGTGTCTGTGGTGTGGAGAGCCGAAAAACCACCACCATGACTGTTATTTCTATATTGTGAATGAGAATGGTTTCAATCGATACAAAAAAGTTAGGTGGGAAGGATGACTGTGCCACACAGCGAAGACGTTACCCTACCTTGTGTTTACAACACTGTCTGACCTTACCTTGTCATATGCTGAAGAAACTCAGGGTTTAGAATGTAACACAGGTGACAGCAGTGGAAGTGAATATGGAGTAAGCATTTCAACAACCCAGCAGTTCTCCCAAGAAGAACTCAGTGATCTGATACGTGACCTCAGTCTCTGAAAGCAAGCATCTGAACTTTTAGCATCCAGCCTAAAAGAAAAGAACTGTCTACAACAAGAAGTTAAAATAACAGCTTGTCGGACAAGACAGGTTGAACTCCTTCTTTACTTCATCCAAGATGACGAGAGTACCGCAATAACATCCCTAGACTTCTTCTAATGGGACTTGAATAGCGACCAGGAGATTGATGGCTGCTCATAGACAGCTCCATTAGAAGCTTGAAATGTGTAGTATTGCACAATATGCATCTCTTCCAACTGATCACTCAACAAAACTTAAAAATTAATACGGAAATATAAAAATGGTATTGCAAAAGCTTTGCTGTCATCAGCACAGGACGTCTATTTGTGTTGATCTGAATATAGCAAATTTCTTGCTTGCTTGTACGATCTAAGAAAATAATTTCAATGCTATTTGTAAAATTAGCCGCCTTACTCAGAAATTCATTGTTATAATCATAACCATAACTTTTAACGAGGTGGAGGGGCAAGCCAGTGGAAGGCCTCGGTCAGATGACCAAAAGCTCTAGCTGCGGGTCATCATATGACAAAGACCTGCATCGGGAAACACTTGTCCTGTTTCCTGATGAACATTATACCAACTTACCACCGCGAGGCCTGGTCACAGACCGGGTCGCGGGGGCGTTGACCCCCGAAACCCTCTCCAGGTATACTCCAGGTATATTCCAGGTATACCTACCCACCTGATCAATATATTTTTCACATCTTTCATATTTTTCAAACCAACAATAACAACGACACTTACGTAATCAACATCACGAAATCTCCGTAATATCATTGGCCAGAAAATAAGTGTTGACCAGCGATTAAATATAATTCTTGACTTTGAATAATTCTTGCCCCTGCTTCCCAGGGTGCCTGAGTGGCGGGTTCCTATCTGGGTTCCTAGCTAATTACGGGAGGAAGATGGTACTTATGGTAATCATGGTACCTATGGCGCTCTCCTGGTTCTTCGTCATCTTTGCTACGCAGGTACGTGGTGCCTAGCACCTTACTACGCAAGTACCTGGTATCTAGCACCTTACTACCTAGGTATGTGGTACCTAGCACCTTACTACCTAGGTACGTGGTACCCAGCACCTTACTACTGTGAGTGGTACCTAGCAGCTTACTACGCAGGGGCGTGGTACCTAGCACCCGACTACGTAGCTACGTTTTACCTAGCATCCTACTACGTAGGTTTGTGATACCTAGCACCTTACTACGTAGATTCGTGGTATCTAGCACCTTAGTACGTAGGCACGTGGTTCCTAGCGTCCTACTATGAAGGTACAAGGTACCTGGCACCTTACTACGTAGTTAAGTTTGCCTAAATTAACCTATCTTAATCTAAACTAGTGTAAAAAAAATATAGTCTAACTTAACCTTAGCCTAAGTTAACCTAACTTGGCCTAACCTTACTTAACCTAACTTGACCATATTTAGTCTAACAAAGTCTAACTTAGCCTAACCTAATCTAACTTAACCTAACTTAGTCAAAATTAGCCTAACTTAGCCTTAGAAAAAAAACCGGGGGGAAAAAAAAATTTTCCCCAAAAACCTTAAAAAGAAAAAGGGGGGGGGGGGAAATTGGGGTTCCCCCTAAAAACAATAAAATTTGGGGGGAAAAAAAGGGGGGAAAAAAAACCCCCCCCCTCTGGGGGGTTTTCCGGGGAAAAAACCCCCCCAAAAAAATTTTTTTTTTTTTAAAAAAAACCAAAAAAACCCCCAACTTTTAAAAAAAACCCTTTTTTGGGGGGTTTTTGGGGGGGGTTTTTAAACCAAAAAAATTTTTTTTGGGGAAAAAAAACCCCCCCCCCAAAGGGGGGGGGGGTTCCCTTTTGGGCCCCTTTTGGGGGAAAAAAAGGGGGGGGGGGGGGGCCCCCCCCTTTTTTTCCCCGGGCGGGGGGGGAAAAAAAAAAAATTTTTTTTTCCCCCTTTTTTTTTTAAAAAATAAAAAAAAAAAAAAGGGGGGAAAAAAAACTAAAAAGGGGGGGAAAATTTTTTAAAATTTCCCGGGGGGGGGAAGGGAAAAAAAGGCGGGAAAGGAAAAAATTTTTTTTTAAAAAATAAACCCCAAAAGGTTTTTCCCCAAAAAAAAAAAAAAAACCCCCCCCCCCCCCGGGGGGAAAGGGAAAAAAAGGAATTAAGGGGAAAAAAAAAACAAAAAAAAAATTTAAAAAAATGGAAAAAAAAAGGGGAAAAAAGGGGGCCCCCAAAAAAAAAAAATTTTTCAAAAAAAAGGCTCCCCAAAAAAAAAAACCCCCAAAAAAAAAAAAAAAACCCCGGGAAAAAAAACCCCCAAAAAAAAAACCCAAAAAAAACCCTTTTAAAAAAAATTTGGGGTTTTTAAAAAAATTAAAAAAAAAGGGGGAACCCAAAAAAAAAAAAAAATTTAAAAAAAAAAAAGGGGGTTTCAAAACCCCCTTTTTAAAAAACAAAAAAAAACCCCCCCCCCTTTTTAAAAGGGGGGGGGGGAAAAAAAAAACCCCCCCCCCCCTTTCGGGGGGGGGGAAAAATTTGGGGGGGAAATTTCGGAAAGGGGGGGGACCCCCCCCCCCCTTGTTTTTTTTTGGGGGGGGGGTTTAAAAAAAAAAAAAAAATAAAAACCCCCAAAATTTTTTAAAAAAAACCCCCCCCTTTTTTGGGGGGAAAAAAAATTTTTTTTTGGGGGGGGGAAAAAGTTTCTTTTTTTAAAGGAAAAGGTTTTTTAAACCCCCAAAAGGTTTTAAAAAAGGGGGGAACCCGGGGGTTTTAAGGGGGGAAAAAAATTTTTTTTTTGGGGGAAAACCCCTTAGGGGGGGTTTTTTTTTTTTTTTCCCCCCAAAAAAAGGGGGGAAATTTTTTTTTTTTCCCCCCCGGGGGAAAAACTTTAAAACCCCTTTTAAAAAATTAAGGTTTTTTGGGAAAAAAAGGGAAAAAAACCCCCCAAAAAACCCCCCCCCCCAAAAAACCCCCCCAAAAATTTTCCCCCCCCCCCAAAAAACCCAAAAAAAAAAAAAGGGGGAAAAAACCCCCAACAAAAAAAAAAAAAAAAAAAAAAAAACCCCAACCCCCCCAAAAAACCCCCCCTTTTCCATAAAAAACCCCCGGGGCCCCCCCCAAAAAGGCTGAAAAAGGGGCCCCAAAAACCAAAAAAAAAAAGGGTTTTTTTTTAAAACCTTTTAAAATTAACCCCCCTTTAAAAAAAAGGGGAAAACCCCAAAAAAAAAAAAGGGGGAAAAAGGGGGGAAAAAAAACCCCCCAAAGGGGGGTTTTCCAAAAGGGGGGAAAAAAAAAACCCCCCCCGGGGGGGGGGGAAAAAAACCAAAAAAAAAAAATTTCCTTGGGGGAAAAAGGGGGGGGCCAAGGGGGGAAAAAAGGGCCCCCAAAAATTTGGGGGCCGGGAAAAATTTTTAAAATTTTTTTTAAAAAAAAAACCCAAAAGGGTGGGGGGGGGGAAAAAGAAAAAATTTTTTTAAAAAAGGGGGGGAAAAAGAGAGGGGGGGAAAAGGTTAAAAAGGGGGGGCCAAGGGGGGGGGCCCCCTAACCCCCAAAAAAAAAAAAAAAAAAAAAAAAAAAAGGGGGGGGGGAAATTTTTTAAAAAAAAAAACCCCCCAAAAAAAAAAATTCCCCCAAATTTTTTTAAAAAAGGTAAAAAAAAAAAGGGGGGGGGGGTTTTATTTTTTTTCCTAAAAAAAGGGGAAAAACCCCCCAAAAAAAAAGAGGGGGGGCTTTTTTGGGGGGGGGTTTTTAAAAACCCCCGGGCAAAAAAAAGGGGGGGGGTTTTGGGGGCCCCCCTTGGGCTGGATCCCCCGGGGGGCCCGGCCCTTTTTTGGGGGGAAAAAGGGATGGAAGGGATGGGCCCAAAATTTTTTTCGCAATGTTAAGTTAATGACGAGAATTAAATTTAGATGAGGGTCAAGCAGGACTACAAAAGAAACCTTTTACATGCTGGAACACGTGGGGTTTACAACAGGTTTTCGAATTTTAAAAAAAAAAACCCCCCCCCCCCAAAGCAAAGCATGAAGATCGGGGAAAAAGGGCAAAAAGACCCGCAGACAGAGAAAAAGGCTAGGTTTTCCAAAGGCTGCAAAAAACCCCGCCAAGTAGTAAGATCTGGGCCGTAAAAACACCGAGCATATCTCCTGAAAGCAAAACATCAACCAGATAACTGCTGCAGCAAAAATGGCCCTGGCAAACCTGAAGTTTTCCCTTAAACCCATACCCCCGGTAAGGAATCGTTTAAATCCTTGGGACCAAACCGGGGTTTCGGGCGGCCCATACTGGATATGCAGCACCTGTTGGGAAAACCCCCAACCCCTGAAACAAGCACGGGCAAGAAAAAAAAAGAAAATCAAAGGGTTTTCAACAAGGTTATTTCCCCGAGCTCAGGGGGAAAGTCCTATGAAGAAAAGGTTTAAAGGGAAAACCCCCACACACTGGAGGCCAGGAGGGTTTTTGGGGAGACATGATAACGACAACAAAATACTGGGGTGGAAAAAGAAATTTGGGACAGAGACAGGATGGGTTCCCCGAGTTTTTACACGAAACAAGGGGTCCCCAATTGGAATTGCAGACCCAAGTGTTTTTAATTTAAAGGGGGGAACCAAAAACATACCTTTAAAAAACGAAGGATGATAAAGCTCATTGGGGCAGGGGAGAAGAGGACCTAGGGAAACGGGTCAGTGAAGAGGCGGGGCCCGGAAAATGATCTTTGACCCATGCAACCCCCAATTTTGGTGGGGTCCAATTAGGCGGTAAAACACAAAACACACGCATAAGGGTAAAATTTATTTTATTTTTTTTTCTAATACTGTTATAAATTTAACCAAACCCCTTTTGGTTAATAATAATAAACATTT